TACTCGCGGTAAGCTCGGGCGTGTGGTACTCTCCTCACTTAACCCTCTATTAACTGAACTTAGTACATGAGATATAGGCTGAAAAGTGAAGAAATTCGCTCCAGCTCTTCTAATTATATATGACCGAAAGCTTAATTAAAGAGGTGGAAATATTGACAAACACATGGCTTAATCTTGGAGAACAAAAGGCTTAGTCACCATCTTAATAAGCTTAGTCATGACTTAAGTAATATAAGAAGGACACCTCATGCTTGCCTTGTATGACAAATTTCCCCATGAAAATCTCCAATTTGCTTACGGCAATTGGAATAATTTGGACATGATTTAGCCTTCATATTAGCTTAAGCATGATCGTATAGTTAATTAAGCACAATAACATGCTTAATTAATTACTTACACATGATTGATTTGATTAACTTGGTATTAAATACCAAAATTAATCTGCACGTAAACATGACTTCGAAAATAATTTCGAAGAATCTTGACTGGAATAATTATTTCCGAACATAAACGTGATATTCGAAAATTAATTTGAATATTCATGACTTGGACGATTAATCCGAATATCGACATTTCGGATAATTGGTCAACTTAACTTATTAAATCCGAACTCATTAATTAGTTAAATAAGTCAAAATTAAATCTGAAACTCATTCGGTTATTGAAACAATTAAACCGAATAACGCATCGACTAATAGTCGAACTTGGAGTATAACTAGCTGATTGACTTGAACTTGAATACTAACATAATTATATAATAACAAAGGCTAGCTTTTACTCGAAAGCTAGTATTTTTCTTTATTAATAAAATACGGGGCGTTACATACACACACACACACAACACACAACTTATATAGGTACATGTCATTTGCCTAATAACATTTCTTTAATTTTTTACGTGGAAAAATATGAGAATCAATACAGTGCGTAAACTGTGGGAATAATATGTGAAATATTTTCTTCGGATATGCAATTCATGATTTGGATTGGCAAAAAAATGGCGCATAGTCTTAAGTTATGTGTATTTCGATTAGGATGTGTGATTCTTAAATATGCGAGCATATTACGCATAATCATTCATTATACGGATTATTGATTTGCATATGCGAGTCGTAAACTATGTGAATATTTTTCGCATAATCATAAAATATGCAACGTTCGATTTGGATATGTGATTCTTCAATAGGCAAAAATTTATCGTCTAAGGCAAGTTATGCGGTGGATTTGGATGTACTAGTCGTAAACTATGCGAAAACATGTTGCATAAGCGTAACATATGTAACATTTGATTTGGATACGTGATTTTTGAATATCCAAAACGTTATTGTATATGATAAATTATGCGGTGAATTGGATATGCGAGTTGTTAACTATGCGAGAATATGTCGCATAATCGTAAAATATGCGATGTTTGATTTGGATATGCGATAAAATTTTGCAAAAATGTTATGGTAAATTATGCGGTGGATTTGTATTGCGATTTATAAGCTATTCGAAAATATGTCATAAAATATGTGATGTTCTATTTGGATATTCGATAATAGAATATGCGAAAAGTTCTCGCATATGGTAATTATGGGATGGATTTGTATATGCGAATCGTAAACTATGTGACAATATGTTGCAAAATCATAAAATATACGACGTTCGATTTGGATACGCGCTTACATAATAAGCGTAAGTGTTTCACTTACTTGTTAGCTATACATCCAATTTGGATATGCGAGACATGAAATATGCGAAAACTTGTCGCATAATTGTAAAATATGTGACTATCAATTTGGATATGAGAACATATGCGAAATCAATTCGAGTAACAAAAGTTATGTAGTGGATTTGAATATTAGTAAATATACGAGTGTGTTTCAAATAATTTTTAACTATACGTCCAATTTGTATATGCGTTAGTATATATATACAACACAATCTCACATAATCATTAATTATGCAGTTAATTTAAATATGCTATTTTTAGATCGCATATAATTTCGATTGTTGTGAGGTGAAAAAGGAATTTTTGGATAAGACTAAAAAAAGTGCAAGACGTAAAAAAAAATAGTTCCATTCATCATTGTTGCCCCATGATATCAATGCTTAGATCAATACATGCAACTAAAACCATCTCCAAGCGAGCGGTAAACACAAACCCAAAGCCAGAAAACTGCTCCAACCGATGTCGAAACTGCAACGCAAAATGCGTTCTGAACACTCTCTCTCTTCTCCCAAACACAAATATGTGTTTGTACTGTTCACATACGCAAAAAAATCTTGTGAATTGTGTTTTGACCACAAAAAATTTTGTTAAATATATTTTGGCCCTTTTGATTATGATTCTTAGATATTAAATAGCTTTTAACGTTTAGTCTATTTAACAATTTAGTTTCCAGTCCATTATATTTATATATTTGCAGTTATGAAACTTACTACATTAGAACAATTGCATTGTAATTTTTAATTTCACATCTGGTGCATTGTATTTTTTAATATTATAGTGTTGTAATTTTTAAATTTTAATTTTTAATGATTATTTATTTCTTCAGTTTATTATGTATATGATTATAACTTTATAATTAATTTATTACATAAAGTTCAAATTGAATTGAAAATAATAGTGTAGTTTAATTTGTAAAATTATAAAATATGTGTTTAGTATTGAAAAATTATAAAAGTTGATGTAAAAAAAATTTCCGAGAACATTATTTTATTTGCAAAATGAGTTTTTCAGTTGAAGATAAATTACTGCAAAATAGGATAGGTACAACAAAATGGGTTTGAGTATAGGGTATTCGGTTGGAGATGGTCCTAACATCATATATTTGCTAGATTATTATAATTATTGGCAAAATCTCAGGGAGCATGTATAATGCTACAATTATTTCGGTTCAACAATAAATAGAAACAACTCAAAGGTAGCATCCGAAATAAGATACAACTACAGTTTCATCCATTTTCCTCAACATACTGATACTACTTTCAGTCGACAAGCCTCATGAAATAGACAGCCCCTAATCTATTTCAGCTGACATAAGAAAAGCTTTTGATTGCCAAAAAACAGCCAAGTCTTCTACTGAGTAGTAGTAAATCCAACCTAAGCGACTGGAAGTTCACCACAGTCACTAACAACCACTCTCTTCCTCGGACGATCACCTCTATCTGTTTCTTGAGATTCAATCAGCCTCACAACATCCATGCCTTCCAAGACTTGGCCAAACACAACATGTCTCTGGTCTAGCCATGGTGTCTGCAATTTTTCAAACACGAGAAATCGATAAGAACACAACTAAAGCAAGATGACATTCTTTTGTCAGAAAAATAATTACTCACTTCCCATCTTCCTTTTCTAGTGGAAAGATGATCGATTTAGTATCCACATCACGATTAATGTGTTCAAAAATATCAGCACAACACTTAAAATTTTAAAAGAAAAATGTCACACGCAATGTGAACTTGAAGGGAAATAAAAAAAGAAAGAGAAAAGGACTCGGGTAGTACAGGAGATTACAAGTTGTCTCACATGGCTCAATAGCGAAAATATCAAATGTGATCTTCATAAACCTCATAACCATCAGCCTGACAGTGTACATTAACTTGGAGAAAGTGGAGGAATTGTTGGTCTTAGGGCGCTATCGGATATAGAATATAACTAGTTTTGACCGGTCGAATAATTTTTTACACCTTTTAACTCAAAATCCAACTCAACTTTAATACTATGTAACACTCTTACTTTTTATCAATATAATTAAATAATAATCAATCAATCATTCTCCCACATCACGTCAACTTTAATCATTTCCAATAACTTCTCTCCTAGTTTACATCACATCATCTTTAATCATTACATCTCGACCTGCAATATGTTTTATATTTAAATAAATTAACCAAAGTAGATGTGCGTTTAAATGGCGAGAGTTTTAGTGGAATGAGATTATTTGAACGTCATGTGGAAGAGTGTGATTGATGTTTAAATGAGTGAGTGAATAGGTATGCGAATGCCCTGATGCATTCATAATTATTGTATTAATTTCATTATATTTATTAATATTTTTTGATGTAAATGTCATGTAATAAAATTAAATTATTTTTACATTTTTTTCCAATAAAATAAAAACAAATTAAAAAATATATACATCTGCCAAGGCGTGAGTATCTTCACAACCACCTGACCAGCCTAGGCGCTGCCTAATCGTTCGAGCGCCTCGAACGACCACCTAGGCACCGCGTAATCGTTCGAGTGCTTCGAACGACGAACTAGGCAGGCACCTGGGCCGATGTTACAGAGATTAATTCACAAGAATGCCTAATGAATTCAAAAAATCAGCATAATAAAAAAAATTAGAAAGAAAAGTCGTAGGCAATGAGAAACTTCAAGAGAGGAAAAAGAAAAGCTGGAAGGACTTAGGTAGTAAAGAAGATTACAAGTTGTCTCCCATGGTTCAATGTCAAAAATCTCAAATGTGATCATCATAAACCTCATAATCATTAGCCTGGTAGTGTACAATAACTTGGAGAAAGGTGGAGGAATTGTTGGTCTTAGCTAGGACTGAGCACGGGACATGAAGATTAGTGAACCGTTCCGTAAATCAACAGATTTTTTTTTTTGGTATGGTTCTGGAGATCCATAAAATATCCGTACCGAGAACCAAGCCGAACAGGACTAAATAAAAAATAACCAAACTGAAACAAAGAATCAAAATATTCATAAGTTTATATGTGTATAACATTTTATCTATGCATTCTTTATACAAATTATTTAGCATTTGCATAAATCAACAGTGAATGAGAATATAGTTAGCGTTTCATGAAAATCTCCAATTTCATAATATTGTTCTTCTTATTCAAAAGTTATATGTGTAAATTATTTTATCTTATTTTTTATTTTGTAAATAATTATTTTAATATACGTAAAAAAATTATCTATATATGACAATAACATAGTTAAAATTTCATGGAATCTCATAATTAATAATACTATTATTTTTTCCATAAATTTAAACACATATAATATGTTATCGTATGCTTTTTTTACATAAATAATTTATCATTTACATAAAATCATTGATGTATGCCCATATTATAGTTAAAATTTCATGAATCAAAAGTTTAAATGTGTATAGTATTTTATCTAATGCTTTCCTTTGTACATAATTATTTTAATATTTGTATAAATGTAATAATATATGACAATAGAGTTTATGTTTCACGAAAATCTCATATTTAATACTACTATTTTTTTTATAAAGTTGTATGCATATAATATGTTATCTTATGCTTTTTTTTTTGTACATAATTATTTTATCGTTTGCATAAATTCAACAATGTATTCCAATAATATAATTGAAATTCCATGAAAATCTTATATTTAAAAATACTATTCTTTTTATTTTAAAATCTATATGGATATAATATTTTATTTATGCTCTTGTTTGTACATAATCATTTTAGCATTAATTTAACCATATATGCCAATAATATACTAATTTCTTGGAAAGGGGTTTAATTTTAGAAGGAAAAAAAATCTCCAGCACCGAACTGTCCAGTTGACCCAAATCAAACCTCAGGACGGTTCGGGATGGAGATTTCTTCACTCCGATTCGGTTGTAGAGATCCAATTTTGGAGATCTCCGAATTCAGGATGGTTCCAAAGATTTCTGGATCAACTGTTCCAACCCATGCTCAGCCCTAGATCTTAGCATCTTGATATAACCTTGAAAAGGAATAAGAGAAAAGGGAAAGAACACAGAAAACCTGAAGCATTTCCAACTTATTTTTGTTCTTTTTAATTCCCAAATCTATGTTATTCGATATTATTACTACAGAGCAGATAATCTGAATTCATCCTCAAACAAGTACAAACTCCTGGGCTATTTGCAAAAAGAAGATGACTCCTCAAACAAGTACAAAACTCCTGGGGCTATTTGCAAAAAGAAGATAACTCAACATTTAATTAATTCTTCGTGTCTGTTGCACTACATTTTCAATATTTGTAAGTTACAAAGCATCAACTATTTATATCATTTACATGAAATTAAAGCAAAAAACAGAATCATGATGGGGAAAAAAAAGTATGAAGCATGCTTAGATTTAACCAAGCACAATTACATATAGATATTCCAATTTATTTTCTTTAATTTCCATTTTTGGTGCCTACACCCTGCAAATTTAGTTGCATGCTCTAAGATAGCTTATTGCATACTGCTACATACCTTGACAGTACAGATGAAAAATTGGCTCCCATTGGTATTGGGACCAGCATTTGCCATGCTAACAACTCCAGGTCCAGTGTGCACCACTGCAGATTCAGAAACTTCACAGTTAAGACACAGAAGACGTCAGCTTCCCCAGTTAGAAGATTAGTAAAAGCAAAACTCACGCTTAAAGTTTTCATCTTTGAATGTACGGCCGTATATACTTTTACCGCCTGTGCCCTGCAAAAAGATGCCCCAAGAACAGAACCAGTTATGGCATGTTGATACCAAAAGTAGGAGGAATTTCATGTCGATAAAATGTTGGCTGCGCATTATAAGAACAGAGAACCAGTAGTAGTGCACTGGCCCAAGTAAAAGGCAGAAATGGTGTCAAGTAACTAAATGTATATCATCATCAATAATTCCTAAAGCATGTGCCAGAAAGATGCAACAAAAGAATGGGTCTCCTGGCGTACTTCAAAATGCAAGAAAATGATCGAAAGACCAAGTCCTACTACCGAACAAGAACTATGTTGCCCATACAAAATTTTGTTTCTGTTTGGAAGTTATGTTTGTCCCATATCAATTAGTTACTAAGTTGTTACTGTGCATAAGTGTGGGTTGGGAACCATTTCCCTTTGAGCTAGCTTTTGGAAATGAGTCGTACTAGGCCCATTTATCATGGTATCAGAGCACCTAGGTTTGTTTGTTTGGAGGAGACTTTGGGTTTGGACCTGGCGCATTTGGTTTGGCATGCTGTGCGTGTGTGCAGGTGTTATAAATAATGTTTGTCTCACATTGATTAGTTAGTGCTATGTATAAGTGTGGGTTAGACACCCTCTTCATTTGAGCTAGATTTTGGATATGAGTTGGACTCGGACCCATTTATAAGTTTTGAACACATCTTTTGCAATTATTAATCCATAAACATAATTATTTTAAAATGATACAACTAAATCCATTCCATAGTATAATATTAACTCACACAAAATTATTGAATGGTATCAAGGATGAAAAGAAGTGACTCATCTATAGTTGTAACCAAAATGCAGAAACAGGGCAACAGACAAAGGATGGAATATGTGACCACATCAAAATATCATCGGCTGGGTAGGGATAAAATAGTTCTCAACTGCGCTGAAAGTAAAACTGCTTGGTAAACCAAAAGGAACAGCATAATATTGCCTCGATTACCGATGCAAGTTCCATGGTTGAATGCTAAATTTCAAGCTATGGATAAACAATTTATTACCCATCATTACCCATGCTTAATATTTAGGAAGCCAAACCACTAAAGGCAATTATTTGCAACCATGTACACAGTCCAGACTAAAGAGAGGCTTGTCAAATATTATCTCCATCAGAAAGCTAAGGCAGAATCTTATTGACATTTTAGGGGATGATTAATATAGAAGAAAGTGCAAAATGGAAGAAAAGACTTGTGGACCTTATGGTCTATACTGGCAATTAGGGAAAAAACTTTCAACCAAAAAGAGAATGATAATTGTACTGGTGTTCAACTTAGAATGCTGCACAATATGAATATAGTATGATTAAGAACGCTTCTAATGAAATAATCCGCCAACCACAATCCACTTCTAATAACATACATTGATCAAACATCTCTTTTGATATCCGCCAACCACAATCCACTTAACAGAAAACGAAAATCTTATACCAAAATAGATTCAGCCAAAAGTAACAGCTTACATTTCCTTTGTCAAAATCTCCACCTTGGATCATGAAATCCTTAATAACACGATGGAATGAGGAACCTTTGTAGCCAAAACCCTTCTCCCCTATACAATTCAACATATGTGAAAAGATATAGTTATAATTGAAGAATGAATTTTATTTGTGAACAATATGTCATCGAACTTGAGTTAGTATGTGTACCTGTGCATAAAGCACGGAAGTTTTCTGCAGTTTGTGGCACGTCATCACCATACAAGCCAATTACAATTCTTCCAGCAAGCTTTCCTACAGGGTTTCCAATGCTTATATCAAGATAAACTTTGTGCGTCACTTTTGATTGAACAGTTGCTTCCTGAAAGAACAACAAAATTAATAGGCTGAGAAACATAGATTTGACTACCTGAAAAATCTGCAATTCGAACATGCTTTCTAGAAAAGGACAAATATGCAGATAATTCGTGCAAACGGAACTGGACAAAACAATAAAAAGTGTACCAATTGCTCTACATGGTAAATGCACTGTCGGCAGAACTTTAGTTTCTTCCACACTACTTCAAGACTCAACAGTGAAAAATGCAATATCCAACTTAATAGGTTGTACCAGTTAATAATGCTATAATTATCTTTCAATCCAATCCAAACTTCAAGGGAATTACGGTAGACAACTGAAGTATAAATCTAGGGATTCATAAGAATGGTTCATTCTTTCCTACCGGAGTGGGTGGAGCCTACACCACGTTATTCACCGTTGGATCACACATACACATGCCAACACCCATGTGAATGAGTGTTGATGTTACAATGAAAAACCAAGTGTTGGCACTATCCAGTATCCACACCACTAGGATGAAATATACCCATAAAAATATCGAATAATCGGTCTATGTTTCACATGTGCCCATGTTTTAATACTAAAGAACAAAAGGCACACAAGAATCATTTATATTCACACAAGGGTTGAGCTATGACAGATAAAGCAGAAACATAGCACGAATGACACAGAAAGGGCTTAATAAATTAACTCGAACTCCATTTCTCTGGCTTATTCCAATTTCTATGTAGCTAAAAAGTCATATCGGCCAAAACAGAGAAAAAAGCCCATCCAAAAGGGGGGGGAAAGAAAAAATAAAAAGAAACCCTTACCTCGGCCATAGCTCGAACTGAGTAAGGCTTAGAACCACCTCTGCTCCTCACTGGACCATCCAAAGAGAGGCGGAACGAACCGGACAAAGAGTTCAACGATGAAAATGAAGATTTCCGAAGCTTCGCACACCCAAAGGAGCAAACTGCGCTCCTACTTTTGGTAGATGAGACACATTGTGGAGCTAAAATCGCGCTAACATTCGACTGATAGAAGAAGAAAGGAAGATAACAATGTGGATTAATAGCGAAACAATTGACCCAACTGGGTTTTGGAGGAAATAGACTTACCAGAGAAGCATACGCCATCGCCAGTTCTTCTCTGGATCTGATATGCGTTTGTTGATTTAAGGATAATAGTGTGAGAGAGAAGATAAGAATACTGTGAGCCGTGGTATTTCAATTCAAGGATCCGGAGCCTCTGCAGCGGCAGCACCTTCCCCTATCTGCTGTATTTAATGAGGACCGTCCAATTAACTATTTAGATATCCAACGGCTAGGAACTTTCAACAATTACAAATTATTCTTTTGTAAGTTCTTCCTAACAAAAAAATTTCTGTCTTCCCAATATTTTCCTATCGTTCACCTTCTTTTTTTTTTTAATTTGTTCTCCCAAAATTTCAAAAAGTATTTCCCCTTTCATATTCCAATTTGCCGAAAAAAAAAAAAAAAAATCCCCATTCATACATTGAAAGATTCTAAAATAGATTATGTTAAAAGAAAATTGATTTTATATTGAGAAGTAAATGCATATACTATAGGCATTGTGTTGTGAAAATAATCTAAAAAAAAAAGTGAAATTCACAGTGGGGGACTGAATTTATAAATTTGGTCAATACCATTGGTGGAGTTGAATGGCTTAAAAAAAAATTAAAGATATTTCTTGTTAGAATAAACAACGTCTATCGTGATGATTTTTTGTGATAATCCATCAACGGTGAGAAAGATACTAAGTAGATTGTACAAATTTAAGTCTCAATATATATAGGCCTTTATTTTATTAAACTATTATCTCATATGTGGTTTATATCAGTATCGCACGAAGTCAAAGATTAACATTGCTTATAAAAAAACCTAAAACCAAACAACTTGTATAAATCGATTAGGGGAATGAGCATAACAAAAGCCACAACAAATGAGCAGTCTCAGTAGCAACCCAACCATGGGAATCAGAGCTCTTGACCGTGGATTTTATCATCAATTTTTTGATGCCCCATTCGAATATAGGATTTTTTAGATATTATTTTATTGGCATTGATATTTTTAAATGAATTAATTGCCTATATCATATTACTGCTTTGATAATATATAAATAATTGTGTGAATTATAGTCGGCTGTACTACTTTATTATAAATTCCCGGACGTGGTGCGAGTTGAACCGAGCCTATTTAATTATTAGTCGATCCGTTGGAGAACTCGGCCTGTAATACCCCGCTATTTTACTAAAATCAGAGTACGCATTTTTTGCAAATTTTCTGAATAAACTTATTTATTTTGCGAAAACTGATTCGGAGTGCTACCGTGAAAATCTGACTTATATCTGAAAAACCGTTAGTTTTTAAACTGATAATAAAAACGGTTTATAACGTGTTAACAGACTAACGTCGGAACAAAAGCTGAATTTAAGTACTGTAAGTTTTAGCGGAAATATAGCGTGGTCAAAACATAGTTTATACATAACAAAACAAATGTCCTGAACAGCTCGTCAGCTCACTCCTCGTCCCCGACTCCGTGACCTGAAAAACATGAAATATGTGGGATGTGAGCACTAAAACACTGTACTCCGTGGAAACTCATACTAAAGTAAACAGTGAATATAATAACAATATCATGATCCTGGCATATATAACTGAACTGAACTGAAACTGATAACTGATATCTGATACCGGTCTGAATAATCTGATGCTGATCTCGTGATATAAATCATGTAACTGATAACTGAACATCTGCCGGCACAAACTAATACCGGACACCATGTGCACACTCTAGTGGGCAGATTAGGGCCACTAGAACCCAGAATGGACCGGCGACCATTCCGAGCGGATACTGAATATACATACCTCAAACACGGTAGTGTAATTATAATCAATGTAGTACTTAGTCTGAGTCCCCACCTGAACTGCTGAAAATGCAGGTAGTGCTGATGCCTGATCAAACTGAAAAATAATATAAACAATTAC